ATGAAAGAGACCAAAGAGCGAATGCATATTTCCTTAACCCCTCCACATTCCTAAAGGGGTCAGATGGACCCAAGGTGTTTTTGTTTTTCTTTTCTCATTACTTTTTCCCAGTTTCTTCACTAACTTCACTAATCCAAATGGGGTGAGTCATCCTATGAACATTTCCAGGGTCTTGGTCCAAATTGTGGCCCTTGCAGTCCCATTGGGCTCCAATAGACACTGTGTGCGCTTTTTCGAGTTATCTTGCTTTTCTCTCAATTTCTTGACTAATCCTGCAGCAGCAAGTCCTCTGTTCAGACTTTTGGCTGAAAATTTGTGGGGGGGTTTTAAACTCTCCTGCATTCCTAATGGTGACCAGTAGGCCCCCCAGTGTTTTTGTCCATTTTTACAGAGTAAGCACCCCCTCACCCCGCCACATGGACCCCAAAAGATAAACCATCAACCCTGCTCAATAGGGATGCACTGATACAAAAATTGTAGGCCGATAACGATATTAATATCATTGATATGGCCGATAATTAATATTTGCCAATACCGCTATATATATAATCCTGTAAATCCCTCACCCAATCACTGTGCTGGTCTTTCTTCTAAAAGACTGAATCTTAACCCATCCATCAAACTGCTTCCCTGAACTTCTCTCACCCTGCAGCACAAAACACACTCTACATGAAACGCTTGTTCTTGGCGAAGCAGCCAAGCAGGAGGCTAACAGAGCTGCCCACGGACTGAATGTCCCGTTCTGTTTGCAAATCAAATTTAAGAAGTTATTTTACATGTCCTGTTTAGAGTCTGATTCTGTTCTTGTTGCAAAACGTTTAGGTGACGGAGTTGTTGTCTGGAAACACAGCTAAATTTGTTGTTTGCGATAAGATGAGTGTGTGTGTGTGTGTGCATGCTCATTGCTGTGAACAGGTAGAAAGGACTGGGTTTGGTTCGAATTCTGTACGTTTTGTTGGTTGTGGGGTTTCCCTAGATTGTCGGTAGGGCTGAGCTAGAGATTTTAAAGTTAAGAATAAACCCAAGAAAACTAAAAACTGTCTAATTTTTCCAACAGAAAATCATCAAACTCTATATATGCTAGCCTATAAAGGGGCATGAAGCGGCAAGGAGGTTTGATTCCAGTCGGAGTTGGTTCTGGAAATTTGGACCATAGCGGCTCAGCAGAACTGCGCTGTGTTGTAGCTTTTTCTGTAGCTATCAGATATTAATCGTTCACTTAGAGACTCTAGGGCCAGGTGTCACCAGTTCCAGTCCTCTAGGGGGTGGACTGGCCTATCTGGCATTCTGGCACTGTCCCGGTGGGCCGCTTGCCCAGCCAGAGCTGACACAACACCGCCAACAAATATATTAATATTTTGTTGAAAGTCAGACAGACAGACCTGATCACAACAGTTAAGGTTACATTTTAAGATCTCATGCAATCAGTTAACGTTTGGAGTATCTGTTGGAGACGACTCTCAGCTGTGACAACACCACATTTTATCACAACATCTGTAAAACAGACAAGAGCATACTCTTTTCTTTTTGGATTTGCCACATTTGACCTTTGGCTCTCATCTTGATTTGGTTCACTCTGAAAGTTTAAATGTTGTAGATGTTCATCCACTGACCACTCTTATTGAAAGTTTAATCCAAATCTGTTCGGTGGTTGATGACATATTTTGTTAACACTGCGGGAAACATGCAGACACACAGAATAACAGGCAAAAACATCATTGTCCGTCCTTCAGCTTTAAACAGCAGGCCATAAGTATATTTTGTTACATTCTATTATCAACACCATCCCATCTTTATGCAGGTTCCACATCCTATTTTGGGTTTTAAGGAATCTAAATGTTGCCAAAATAAACCCACAAGAGTTTTTCATTCAGTAAACTGTTTATTTTCTATCCTAATTATAAAGCTTTGACATTAATCATTTGTCTGGTTTAGCATGCCGTCCTTGCCCAGCTATGGAGCTGCAGGTCATGGAAGAATCTAATTGTTGTGTTTACTTATAATGTGCCAGCACAAAAAGTTTTTGTGGACGCCTCCCAGACAGCCCTGCGTTCAGTCTGACCACGTTGACAATGCACACTCATGAAAATCTTTGTGGTTTTCAATTAAAGTCACAATTTTCACAAATTCTTATGTGGATAAGTGAGAATATAGTAAAGTCCTGATCTCAACATCCTGCAGATTAGATCTAGGTCTCTGTTGTACATATTTAAAAGAGCTTAAGGTGTTTCTACTGGAGTTGCAATGACGAACCTCCAACTGCTGTTCCAGCAACATGACGGGAGCGTTGATGTTTAACCACCAACAGCAAGCTTTTCCCTTTAAGCATCAGGGGACACATGTGGAGGGCCGGGTGGACTAAAGAATTCTACTGCAGCCGGGTCCGTGTCTTTAAATTAACACAACAGTAACCATATCAACAACGGCCATCTTTAAGCTTATTAGAAGTCATTAAGGAGCTTAAGTGGACTTCCGTCTCAAGCAAAGAGATAAAAAAGCGTGCTTGTTTCCAGACAAGTAGGTAAACACAAAAACTAAGATTTCAACTCAAAGCCAAGAAAGGGCATGTTTCATTGTTACACCCCGTATGGATAAACGTGCTAGTGAAGCGGTGTAGCAGCAGAGAAGATAAAGGGACATTTGTTCAGTCTGGGAGATCCCAGGTGTGATGACGCCTCTGCCTGCTCTAAAATGACACCTGCCATGTGATCTGACAGGTGGACTATTGCGGAAGCTGCACCAAATGCTGCAGGAGCTTTCAGGGCAGATCCACTTCACCCTCCCATGTAATCCCTGGAGGTCTGTGTCATGCTGCAGAGTTCAAATGCAAACAGAACTTCCTTTTGTAATTGTGTGAAGAACAACTTTACGTGCAGCCGTGTCTTAAAAATCACACGCAATTGTTTAGGAATGCACAAATCATAAAAGGAACAATACCCAACGCTCACAAATAAATCCACGTCCGTGACCAGGAAAGCTCACGTGGTTCCCAGACATGAACGCAGGTCACATTCGATGGCAAATGTTAAGGGTGGAGTTAAGCTTAATCCACCACCGTGCTATCAAACTCATGTCAGCTGCCTACCCAGGCTGTTGGGCGTCTTCATGCCAAACCCTGCAGCACACACTGACACCTCTACATTTCTGCAGCGGCCTTTCCTGTCAGCATGCCTGCCCCTACATAATGTTTCCACGTAAATCGTTTGAATAAATGCCTGACAACACCAGACAGCAGAGCCAGAAACGAACTGAAGAAACGGGAAAACGTGACGAATTGCTCATTTAACTCGAATGACAAATAACAAGAGCAGCATAGGGATGATTTCTTTATTTGGAGTCACTTTGCTGGTTGTTAATGACGTCAATATGATTAATGAGGAGATCCTGGCATAAATGTGGTTATCTACTGCTAACAGGATGACCCGGGTTACTGTGCAAGGCCTGGACACAGCCAAACACAAGGTCAGCGAAGAATAACACACACTAGATTAAATGCTTTACATCAACACTGATGCACTGAGGCAGGAATTAGAGCTGAGTGGGGCAGTGAGGCAGGGAAAGTCGTATGCTTGACCTGGGAAATGGGACTTTATTCTAGCATAAACACTTTTATCGGTGGGTGTCTTTGAAAGTGAGGAATAAACTCCAGATATTCACTTAGAGTTTCAGCTCACCTACCTGTAGCTCACACCAAGCAACTTCCACTGTGGTTTCTGTGTCCAGACCCTTATAGACAGTCTTAAAAGATCCTCTTCCGATCTCTATGTTGAACTTTAGGTATCGTCCATCTGGAGAGGTTGCCACCGCCTTGGTCTCCACGTCCTCCTTCTCTTCCTGCTCCCACTGAGTGTCAAAGGTGATGCGAGACAGGATCTTTGTTTGTTTGTTGTGCAGTTCGTTTTCAGAGTCAGAGCTGGCCTCCTGGGTGTTGGAACTCGAACTGGGAGCCCTGTTTCCTTTTGGGGGGCCAGCGTCGGGCTCCTGGCTGCCTGCAGGAGTGCTGGAGCTGGTCACCGGGCTGGAAACCGTGGGTGAGGACAGCGGAGTGTCGTCGGGCTTTTCCTCCTCTGCTCTGGACTCAGTCAGCGTTAGGATGTTCTCAGCAGACCAGGACAAGGCTTTGGAAAGGGCACTGTTGTACAGAGGCGAATCTATGTCCACGCTGATCTTTTGCAGCCCGTAAGAGTTTCTCCGCGCGCCCAAACCGTGCGTCCTGAGCACGGTGGGAACCCGGGACAAGCAGTCGTCCGTCATATCCACGGAGAGGCCAGGGAATCTGCGTCCTGGTATCTCAACTTGTGCACGAGACATGATTGCGGCAGGTTCAACGCCTTCCAAATTTAGAACCTGGATATGGAAATGACAACAGGACAGTTAATGTTCCAGCTCTTGTTTGCACACCAAGCGCATCGCAAATGACCAACTTTGACCGAAATGTTTAAAAACACATGAGCTAATTTCACCACCTGCAGCCAGAGAATTCACTTTTAACTTTAACCATATTAATATGAATAACACGAGCGCGTACTTACGTGTGTGGAAACATTTCCCGTTCAGGCGACGCGTAAAGTTAAAGCATGTTCTGACTCTCCAGTAAATTTCGACCACCCTCTTCTATATGTTCTCTCTGCTAAGACTGGAAGACATAACCTCCTGCAAAAGGACCAAGACCAATATCAACAAAGCTCCGGTGGATTGTGAGTCCTGAACGCTCTCCGTGCGCGCTCCCAACTCCGCCCCTTTGACGCGCAGAGGAGTCCATCCTCAAGGAGCAATTACATTCCGATTACAGCAGTGTTGGTTAACCAGGGACATTTAAAACCACAATTTTAATAAAAATCTAAATTTCACCACAGCGTTAAAATTATTGGAATCTATTTTCTTTAGAGACCGATTTCTGTTAATGTTTTCATGGGAAAGGGGGCCAAGGATGTTTTATTCTAAAGCTGCTGCGTAAATGACAAAACCCTCTCACATTCATTGATAAAGTTCACAAGAATTGGCACGACTGATGAGTCATTTCACTACTAGCTGCGGCCTGACCTCCTTTGATAAACCTGAATGAAAGAGATAAGCAGCCCAGAGGGAACAGGGATGTGCGTGCGGAATCTGACCAGCAGGGGGAGCCAGAGCGAGAACAGCAGCTGCTTCTGAAACAAGACCCCACTACCAAGGCCACACGACCCCACTTGTCCTGCAATTAACATCCGGGGTTCTCTCTCTCTCTCTCTCTCTCTCTCTCTCACACACACACACACACACACCTGTCTTTCTATCATAGTGAGGGACCCTCCATTGACTTCCATGCATTTTTGTGACTTCACTATGCCTAACCCTAACCTCTAGAACACCATACCTCTAAATCTAACGAGTAGAGCTCTAACAGTATTGTAACAATGTGAGGACCAGCAGTGTTCTCACTTTGGTACTAATGTCCTGTTTGTGAAAAGCTTATCACTCTCTCTCTCTCTCACACACACACACACACACACACACACACACACACTTCCCTGCAGCTGTATCAGCCACACAGCACATGATGAGTGGCCCATCCAGCACCAGGTTTCAGTCTGCAACTGCATGCAGAGCTGCTTCCTCTGGCTTTTAGAACAACCCAAAATCATCAAAAAGAAAGTCATGAAAATTTAACAAATCTCATTTATTTTCCAACAAAATATGAAAAAAAGTTGAATACAGACATGGGAAAGGTATGAAGAGTGTCAGAGAAGCTACAATGACAGGATGACAGCAGTCTGTACACGAAGTGCAGCATTATTACACTCAGTCGAGTCAAGCGAGGATCAGCTAAGTCTTTGTGGTGTTCCTCCTCTGGAAGCATTTATTCTGAAAATGAAAAGTCCCTCTGGTGCTGCGTTCGGGGATTTCTTTGGGATGTCGGGCTGGAACAGAAACAGAGCCAAGCCAAGCTGACTATACACAACAGATTTGTTAGCGGAGAAAGGAAATACAAAACAGCTAATTGCATTTAAAATAATAGAGTTAAGTTACAGCTAGTGGGGAGATCTCTCCCCTAAAGTATTCAGACATTTTCATATTTAGACCCTTGATACTCCTTGCATGTTTAAAAGGCAACAAATGTCACCTGGGATATTTCTATAAAAACAGCGTCACCTCAGATTACCCCAAATGATAAGTTCCCCTCCAGAAAGCCAAGGCTTCCAACCAAAAGGCAAAGACAACACTAAAAGAACAGGTGTCCGCTGGACCAGGCCCAGCAGTGCATCCTGCATAGCCGGAAATGACCGTTTAATCTGCCTTCAAGATGTGAAGAGGGCTCCCAGTCGCAGAGTATGAGTGGTTCCAGCACCGTTTCAGAAGAATTTGACACCTTTTCCATCATCCATGGTGATGATCTCTGCTTTGCCGTCCGTTTGTAAAGCCTGCAAGGAGCGCAGCAGCATCCACTCCTCTAAACCATGGAACTCTGGAGAAAACCAGAGGAGAGGGGACAGGTCGTGTGTGTTTTACTAAACACTGATCAAGCCCACAAGATCAACAGTGGATGCTGTCATCAAAAACATGAACCCGTACCTTCACCATGGGTGTCGTCACCATTGGAGAGCTCATAAAGCGTAAACACAGAGTTGACCATGCCATTTTTGGACACCTGTGACATTAGAGAGCAACGTTCTGGTAATTAAAAAATACATTAGAAATGACTTCCAACTGAGTCAGTGCCTTTTTATTAAGACTCATCTCTTCTAGAGACATCCCCTGAGGTCAGACTTTGTGTTTCTTTATTTGCTGCTGATTGCTTTGTAAAACAACATTTGACTAATGACCATAATGTGTGTGCAAAAATAAAGTATGTAGTCTTTCAGAAATTCCAGGAAAAGATCAATGCCAAAGTTATTAGAGTATAAATTAAACTTGTAAGATTTCCCTTGGCTGTCTGAAGCTTTCGGCTCTTTTTATTTCCTCTTTATTGACATTGAACATATGTGAACAATAACACGGTAAAGGAAAGCACAAAATAGATCATATTATGAACAGCTTTATGTTATAAATAAAAAACAATGAGGTAAACGCACCTGTGGCACAAACATAAAAATGAGGGAAAAAAAATATATACATATATATAAACCAAAAATGGAAGGTGGACGGTAATTAGTCTGATGTTTTCTGGGAAAAAATTTTAATTCATTTGTTTATTTTATTTGTCTAATAATTAAACACCAATAAAGACATTAATAATAATACAAGAGCTAGAGTTTAGGGAAGAATCCCACTGATTTTCTAAACATATATAATTTTGTCCATCCATCCATCTGAGCCTGTCTGTTCAGCAACCATTTAACATTTGTTCTTTCTGGGAAAGAGCCAAAATCAAAAATTACATATTTTTTGTTTGTTTAGAGTAAATTTCAACAGATTTCTTGAAGGCTTTAGCAAAAAACAAACAGCCTGATTGAGACTAATGATGACATCATTGTAGAAAAGTACAGAGCTTAGGAGCACCTAACACCCTCCATGTTGGTTTCAATATACAGATAGATAACTGATGATTAAAAATGGACCTACTGATAATTCCTGCACTCATTAGTCAAATTTAACGAGTCAGACTTCAAAGAAGAGAACAGCTGCAATGTGTGTTCAGTACCAGCTGCTGTTGTTTATGTTGTTTATCTACCTGCATTCATCATGACATCCAACCTTTATAGAAGAGCTCCAGTGCCTCTGCATGACGTTTCCTTTATCATGGTCTTCTATTTTAATCACACATCAAATACTGTTTGCTGGTAGAAATCATTATTTTTAATATCATTATTGCAATTGATAATGTTTTTGTAAACATGGACGTTCATTTAAAAATGCTGAGGTTGTTCATGCAAACATCCAGCAGGA